ACAAGCCCTTCCAAGACTTGTACTCCCAGCAGTGTGCCAATATTTACAGCAGTTTCTGTTCAGTGTGCTTCAGCCCCTCCGGTGTGAGGGATGCAGTTGTTCAGTTACCTGCACTGGTTTGAAGGTCTCTCTGCCAAGTGAAGAGATGACAGAAGAATGGGCTAGCACAGAATGGGAGTAGTTTATCCTGTCTGGTGTTCCTTCTCTCTGTGGAGTTTCTCTGGCACTGCTGGTACTCACCCGAGCTCATTGCCCCGGAGAGTCCCAAGCCTCCCCATCAGTGTGTGGCACATCCCTTGTGTCGTGTGCCTGAGAAGGCTCAGGGTGACAAAGGCACAGTCACCATGGTTTCACTGGGGAGGTACCAGAACCTTCCTGGTGCACTTGTGTCTGAATTGGCTTATTCATGGACATTGGGGTTTCTTCCATGCTCCCCTGTTTGCTTTGCTGTGCTGTTTCTGTTTCCTTTGGGAGTCAGGGATGGGGAATCATAGGCCACTCAGTGTGAATAGATGGGAATGATGCCTGTCTCCCTGTGGGATGTTCAGGGCTGCATCTCCAATCCTTGGGACAGTTCTGAGCCTTCAGGACAAGGAGGACATGGAGGGGCTGGAGGTGTCCAGGGAAGGGAACGGAGCTGGGAAGGGGCTGGAGCAGCAGGAGAGGATGAGGGAGCTGTGGGGGCGATGTGGTTGTGGCACTGGGGACATGGTCAGTGGTGGCCTTGGCAGTGCTGGGGGATGGTTGGACTCGATGGACTCAGAGTCTTTTCCAACCTCAGTGACTCTGTACCCAGGGCTGTGCTGCTGCTTCCCACAGCACCTTGACTCCTGTCATACCTCTGGAGTTTGTGACTTGCCTGGGGAGTTACCTGGTGGGAGTCTGTAGTGAGGTCTGTCCCACAGTGTGTGTTTGGCCAGAACTGTCAGAGTGTTTGGAGGGACTGAATGGCCACTGAGTGACAGCCCATGGGATGGTGCAGTGACACAGCCTGTGTGACACAGGGAGGGCTTTGAATCCTGTCTGTAGATGGTCAGGATGTGTCCCTTGGGTTATTCCTGTGCTGTTTTATCTGCTCACTTGTTGCAGCACATCTGGAAGAACCAATTACTGTATTGCTGATGGTCAGACTGTCTTGTCTTGGTTTGTGCAGCTCTGGCAGCAATCAATACCTTCCTTGCCTTGCCACTGTTATATTGCACTGCTTACGCTAATTTTCCTGTTGAATTAACACCTTTCAAGCGTTTTCCTGCACTGACCATATTGCCAAGGCCAGTGTGTGTCAGTGCAATTAAAACATGAAGCAGGATTGCTTCTCTGCTTTGTTGGATTTGTGTTCTCTGTGCCTGCAGTGGACGTGGCATTCTTTATTGTGTTACACTATGGATTAGCCTCAGACCCCGGACAGCCCTTTTTGTTCCATTTCAGTTGGTGCATTTGCTGCTTTTTGTTTCCTCACGGCTCAGGGTGAAGCTGAGCTCCTCCTGGCCCAGCTGCTGGTGTTGAGAGTCTGTTATCTCTGCTCCCACGTGTCTGGCAGGTGCTTGGGCTGAGCTTTGGTCTCTTTCTCTGACCTAAGCAAGTGGTCAGGGAAGCTTGTTCAGGTATTCATGCTCCTCTGAGCTGGATCTGAGGCTCTTGTGAGGGCCTGGGTCTATGTGCTGCCACTGCCCATCTCTTCCGCAAGGTGCAGTTCAATTCTGCACTGGTATTCTAGTTATTGTGAGCTTTTTTCCTGGTTTTATACCTTTTTTCCTAGGCTGTGAATCATTGCCGTCACTTGAGGCTTAGGCTGTGTTTATTGTTTCATTGACAGACCTTGTGAAGTACAGAATGTCTCTCCTAAACTTTGTCCTTGCAGTGATACATAAGCAGATGTTTGAGACCTGTAGAAAAAATAGATGTTGGGCAATGGGAATAACCTGCCTAAGGGAAATTTAGCTTCCAGACTTTTTCCCCTTTAGAACTGTTATGCCACTTGCCCCACTCCCCTTGAAGTGATTAAATTCTTCATGAGCTCCCTTTGCCCCTTGCTCACAGGGACACAGTTGTGTCAGTGCTGCTGCTGTGCGTTCCCTGTGCTGTGCTGCAGGAATCCAGGCTAAGCTAGGCTCTGGGCATCACCCTGGGAGTGTGGAACTGACTGGGACCAGCACCAGAGCAGTGCATTATCTCCCTTCTTCCCTGAGGGTTTGGGGTTCCTCTTTGCCAAACTTGGAGAGGGATGTGGAGCAGGGATTTGGAAGCCTGAACCAAGGAGGATCTGCTGTTGCCTTTCAGTTGTCTGTCTGCATTTTCCTTCTTTTACTCTCCTGCCCAAGCTGTGGAATCTGCTCAGGAGCTGAGAATTGCCGTAGCTGATGTCAGCTGGGCTTGGTGTCCTGAGTCATAGCTGCTGCCCTGGAATATTGCGATGACTCATGGAAATAATGTGCCACAAGTGGGAGATGTGGCAAACCCGCAGCTCCTGGTGTGTTATCAGGGCAGGCTGGGGCTAATTGACAGTGCTTGAGGATTTAGCTAATCCAGTAAAGCTGGAGGCCCTTCAACAGAGGGCCCTGAATGGTTGGACTGGTGATTCAGGGCATTTTCCAACCTCAGTGGCTCTGTGAACAGGTAGCAAGCGTGATGAGGGAAGGGTACCCAGATGGCTGCAGGAACACTGGGCGCCATGTGTGGGTCACCTTGTCCCAGCACTGCTCACACACACCTGCCTGGGGGAGTTTAACCTTCCCTGCAGTTAAAGCCCTTTGCCATTCAGCTTTAGTGATCCTACCGGGTGTGTTTGTCCTGCTGTCAGCCCTAAGATATGCTGAAATTTGAAGGAATAAATGTTCTTAATTATATTTATTCCTTCAGCTTTCTTTAATGATGAAATCTAACAGGCCTGGCCTGGTATTTAGGTGTTGGTATCTCTGTGTGTGTGTGTGTGTGTGTATATATATATACACATATAAAATGAGGTTCTTAAGATCATCCGTGTGAATGCCTCCTTAAGCCAAACCTCAGTCCTTTCACCTCTCATTACTCAGGTAGCTCGGGTGAAAGGGAGCAGGGGTGGTTCCTGCTCAGCTGTCACCTCCTGTGATGGTTTTCAATAGCTATTTTCTGTGGCCAGGGCTGTCCTTATGTAATTATGGTCTGTATGCTTTACTCCTGCCTGTGCCACCCCTTGCAGCTGGTTGTGTCACACTCATTTACAGCTCAGTAGCTGGAGCAATGTGTATCACTCTGGTTCAACTGTGCTCGTGGTCATTTGTCACTGCAGTGTGTCACCTGCAGTGTCAGAGTGCTGGGTGTGCTCTGTGTGCTCTGTGTCATGTCAGAGTACTAAATGTGCTCTGTGTGTGCTCTGTGTGTCATGTTAGAGTACTAAATGTGCTGTGTGTCATTTCAGAGTGCTGAGTGAGCTCTGTGTGTGCTCTGTGTCATGTCAGAGTGCTGAGTGTCATCAGGCCTGTTGGAATTCTCTTGGGAGTGCATAAAGAATCCTACTTGTCCTGGTGGGCTGTCACTCACTGGAGGAGCAGAATGGCATAGAGGAGTCCAGCTGGAATGATGGAATTGGGTGAATTTGCTTATGTGAAAGTGTCTCCCAAGGGGAAAGGGATTTCTGGGGGAGCTCTTATATACAGTGAGAAGCTTCCAGGAAATGGGATGCTGATGAGTCCCTAGTGAGGGAAGAGGGGACATGGTATGAGGAGAAGCTGTGAAGTGTCCAGGACTGGGAGATGATGGAAGTGGGAGATGAGCCTGGATTTGCCAGGCAGATCTCTGCTAATTCCCCCCCAAGGTAACAGTTGGATCAGCTGAAAGCTGCCAGGCCTGGCAGTCAGCCCCAAGCCTGCCACTGCTCAAGCAGTGTTTGGCCAACACTCTCAGGCAATGGTGAGTTGTTGGGTTGTGCTGTGCAGGGCCTGGAGCTGCACTTCTATGATCCTTGTAGTCCCTGCCCACTCGGGATATCCTGTGGTCTGTGAAGTGATTCCATGTGGGTGGGAGCAGTAATGATCACTGGCTGACAAAAGGTAAGTTCTGCGCTCTTGTCCTCTCCAAGTCCTGTGGCATGGGAATGCAGTTCTGTCACTGCACATTGCCTGGTGCAGTGGGATGTTGCCCTCGGCTCTGGCTGCTCCGTGCTGTGGAAGTTGCCTGCCAAAGACACTGCAGGACAGCAAATGCTCTGGAGGTCATAGGAGCCTGTGTGCATCCTTGGATACTGCTACATCCAGAGCAGTGTTGTGGCAGACTTTGCTGCTGGGAGTGTGATTCATCTGGGACCTCTGCAGCCTCTCAGCACTGTTCCTCCCACAGCCCTCACTGCTCTTGTGCTGGGCTCTAATCCCGTGGGCCCCTTCCCTTACCTTGCTGCTTTCTTGGTGCTCACAGGTTGGACTCTGTGATCTCAGAAGTCTTTTCCAGTGTAATTGATTCTGTGGTCTGTGTCTCTAGTACTCAGTGTGGATGTGCTTATGCTGTGTCAGCATTTCCTTTATTAACTAAAGAAGTGACTGTAGCAATTTGCACTGTGTCATCGATTCCTGAGTCTGTTTCCAGCCTTCTGCTTTGTTCCTCTCTGCCTTGACCGAGGTCTGTCTCATCACCTTCCAGATTTGTCCAGGAAATTGTATCGGAGTTCTTGAGGCATTTCTGTATCTGTTTTGTATGGTTGGAGTGGGTTTCTGTGGTGGAATGAACTACAGGTGTCCTGAACCATGAAAACCTAGTGTTTCCAGAAGGCAGCTTTGCTGCCACACGGCCTTTGTGCACCAGAGGTTTGACCTCAGGGATGCCCAGGACCTGCTGCTCACACTGTAGCTCAGGCTTGGGTATGCCCAGTCCGAAGATCCGTGTGCACCACCCTGTCCCGGAATTCACGTTAATTAAAGATTAATGAGTAGCATTCCTAATTCTGAGCTGATAGCTCTCCAGAAAGGCTGCATGGCCCTGACCTGGCTTTGCTGGCCTGGAGCTCACCCTGCCTCCATCCCTCCCCACAGGTGAACCAGCGCAACGTGCCGGGCATCGACAGTGCCTACCTGGCCATGGACACGGAGGAAGGGGTGGAGGTGGTCTGGAATGAGGTCCAGTTCTCCGAGAGGAAGAACTTCAAGCTTCAGGAAGTGAGTTGATGTGTTTCCCAGCAGGATGTGGGAAGCACACCTCGCACCAGGATGGGGTTGTGGGTTCTTGACTGGCTTTGCAGTGCTGTGCTGCACAGATGCAGCAAATTCAGCCTAAGCCTGTGCAGGAAATGTGCTGGAAAACTGTTGTGGTCATATTTCCATGGCTCCTGTATTGGCTCAGGCTTGGTGATCCAGCCATGCTCTGCTGAGGTGCAGTGCAGCGGGAAATGGGATGCTACCTGTCCTTAGCATAGGAGACTGATGTGTCCGGTGGTGTTTGGGGGGACCAAGACCCCAGAAGAAAGAAGGATGTGGGTGGTGTGGTCTCTGATGTGCCGTGTCTCTGTCCTTCTGATGTTAAGGAAAAAGTTAAAGCGGTGTTTGACAACTTGATCCAGCTGGAGCATCTGAACATTGTGAAGTTCCACAAGTACTGGGCAGATGTGAAGGAGAACAAGGCCAGGGTAAGTGCAGCAAACAATTGGGTCCTCATTGTGTGGGTAATTAATGAGGCAGAGGGTCATATCTTGTTCTGCCTCACAGGTGATCTTCATCACTGAGTACATGTCTTCAGGGAGCCTGAAACAGTTCCTGAAGAAGACCAAGAAAAACCACAAAACCATGAATGAAAAGGTAACTCCTTTTCCTGTATGCTGATATTCCCTTAGAGCCATCAGCCCCTGGAAAGCTCTTTCAGCAGAGGATCCTGATGAGAGCCTGTGGTGACACGTGGCTGCAGTTCCTCCCTGTCCCTGTAACCTAGTTCAGCTGCAGGTTCTCTGGGACAGCAGTTCTGTGCTGGCTGCTTTGATGCCAGGAGCTCTGTATGTGTGGTGTGGCAGGCACATCCCTCTCCATGGCCCTCACAGGAAGAGGGGAAGGTGTCTGTGCATGGAGCAATCAGAACAGGGGTGTTCCTGGACCCATGGGGATATGTAGTAACAAAACTGAGCATGAGAGCACCTGCACTGGATGGGAGCTCAGATGCCACAGAATGGAGTGTGTATTGCTCCCTATGAGTCACTGTGAATCACAGAGCTGCAGATCAGTTCCTTTTGGATGATATGTGTCTTTCTCCTCCTGTGTCTGCAGGCCTGGAAGCGGTGGTGTACCCAGATCCTCTCTGCTCTCAGGTAAGTGACCTCTAGGTCCTCACAGCTGTGACTGATGTGGCAGTGAGTGTGGGAGTTCAGCATCAGGAGCGCTCCAGAGTATCCGGCTTTATCGCCTGGGGCTCCCCATGTGGCAGAGATGACAGGGATGAAATTCCACGTGTGAGGACTGAGGAAAGCCTCCCTGGTGCTGGCAGGCTGCAGCCCTGTCACAGGCTCATGGGCACTGAGGCATGTGGTGTTTGACCTGGGTGTGGGTCTGCGCGTTTCTGGGTGCTGCAGACCTTCCACAGCCACCTTAGTGCATTGCTGCTGTGTGGATGTAGTTTGGGTTTTAAAACCTCCTCCACCTGAGCTGGAGCTGGTGAGTAGCTATTAACAGCCTTGGAAAGACAACAACCTGGATGGCAGAGCAGAGCTCACTGTGGAGAAGACTCTGGTGCCCTGTGAGTAGGGCCAGAATAAGACTCTGATATTCTTGGTGTAAAGTTGTAACCCTTTTAGCACCCACTCAGCAGAACTGGGGTGGAAGAAGTAGTTTCTTTACCTCTGGTACCCTGAGTTTCTGGGGAACTGATCAGGGAAAGGTTTCTTTTCTCCTCCATGCTATGGAGGTCGAGGAGCTGTCTTTAATGGACAATTTTCCTGATCCTCTCTGAGCTAGAGGCTGATGTACACTTGCTGACTTGTACCTCCCTGATATTGTAAATCCCTGGATGTGCCCATTGCTCTCCTGTTCTGTTCTGGTGTTGCTTGAGATGGGGAAGGGGCAAAGGGAGGAATTCCAGGCTTTGACAGTCCCTGACAGTGCTCTGTTCTGCACCTCCAGCTACCTCCACTCCTGTGATCCTCCCATCATCCATGGCAACCTGACCTGTGACACCATCTTCATCCAGCACAATGGACTGATCAAGATTGGGTCAGGTAAGGCTTGCTGGGGTGCCCCTCCCTGTGGGACAGACTGCCCAGGCAGAAACAGCCACCTGCTCCCTTCCAGGCATGTGTGTACACATGCTCCTCTGCCTCCACACCAAGTGTGCTAGGCACTGGGAGTAGGATTCACTGGTGGCTGGACCCTGTCGGGTGAAGGAAAAACTGATACTGGGTATTGTTTGCCTTTGAGCCCCTTCCTTAGTGTTTTGTCTCAAGGGACTGACCTGGGAAATGATGCTGAAACTCTGAAGTTTTGTAGGCACATTGCCCATGAGCTCATCTGCTCCACACAGAGCTCCTTCCCAGCATTGTGGAGTTTAGGAGCTGTCTGGGGAGCTGTGTCCACTGAGGCCACAGGAGTGCTGCTTGTAGCAACCCCCATTAATAGTCAAGCTGACAGACCTGGCTGCAGCAAGTAGCTTGTCCCATTACCCTCATCCAGCATCCTCCCCTGGGCCTGGCTTCGGGCCCCTGGCTGCCCTGAGCCTCCCTGTGCTCAAGTGGTTTGTGTCATGAATAAGCCATGATGCTCTTGCAGTGCAGTGCATCCTTGCATGCTCTGGTTTTCCCACCCTTGCTGTTCCCACGTCTCCCAAAACGTGCCTGCAGTTGGGAAGTGTGGTGTCACACCTTGACATGACCTTCCAAGGGACAGCTGTGCTACCTGTCTTTCAACTTCTGCAAGTATTCTGGATTGAGGAGTGGCCTTTGTCTTCCTGGAGCCTTTGCATGAGCTCTGGTCTGACATGGCAGTGTGCAGGAGAGGATGCTCTGCTTCAACTCTCATCCAGAAATGGCCTCTCCACAGGCCACAGGCCTGTGGCTTTTCTCCCCCTCAGAGAACTCTTGTTTTGCCCCTGTGTTCAAGAGCTGGGGTCTGTGTGCTCTGTGGCAAACCTCTGATGCATGCCTGTGCCAGGGGATAGGGGCAGGGCAAGAGGAGCACTCAGCTCCCAGCCTGCCTGTCAGCTTGGGGACATGCTCTTCATAGGCTGATGTCATCGTGGGGTTTGCTTTATTGTCTCTTCCTGACTTTGTCCAGGTGGGAGAGATGTGCAGGAGTGTGTACACCTGGTACCTGGATGCTGGCAAACTCAGCTGTCTCCCAGGCATTGAGGCCACTGAGGGCAAGTCTGATGTAGACTTGAGTGCACAAGAGATCCTCTTTATTCTAGTTCAGTTGAAAAGTCTCACACAGCTGCCATTTTTCTGCCTGGCAGCCAGTGCTGTCTGTAGAGCCGACAGGAGATGCTGTGGCACCTCACCTGTAAGACCAAACCCATGGAACTGGTGTTGAAGCCATGGCTTTCACCAGGGGGAGGTCCTCAGGTCACCAGGTGTGCCATTCCTGGAGGGTGTGACTGCAGCAGTACTGTTCGGAGACTGGCTAGAAGAGAAGGAAGGTGCCTCTTTGGGTGTGGGGCACAAATGAGCCTCAACACAGGTACACCTCCTCTCCCTCCAGTTCCACAGAGCTTTGCTTCTGTCAGGCACAGCACGAGGGACAAGGCAGTCACACTGGTATGCTGGTTCCAGGAGTGGTGGGTGCTGTGCCATCACACCTGCAGGACAGGGCTGGAGTGTGACTGTGCAGCAGCAGTGCTCAGCTGCAGCTCTTCCTGAGCTGCTCCACTGCTGTGGGCTGCCTGGCTCACCTCGTGCCCAGAAGTGAAGTGATTCATGGGGGAGATTCTGGCCCTTTCCTGAGTAAAAAAGGAGGTGAGCAGGGGTGGACTTGTGGTCAGATGGAGAAGCTGTGGCTGCAATGGAGGCTGGAATTAGAGCTGGCAATGTTGCAGGATGTATTCCTATTCCTGCAGTGCCCCTCCAGCCATGAAGGGCAGAGCTGTGACCCCAGGACTGGGGGTTGTGTTGGGGCTTGGGCATTTCTCTGCAGCTCTGCTGCCTGTGCAGTGCCAGCCAGGCTGGGCTCGTTGGAGGGATGAGCACTCTGGGGTCACTGGCAGTGCCAGGCTGTGCCTGCTGCTTCCTCTCCTTATTCCATGCAGCTGGATGGTGCCTGAGCACTTCCCTGGGTTTACTTACAGGCAGCAGGGCAGTAATTCCTGTGGATTTACTGGGAGCAAGGATTCAGTGCGCTGTGCTGTGGTGCTGTCTCTGTCCCCAGCACCGTGCTGGGTACTGCTCCCAAAGCTCCTCTCCCTGTGGCTTGGGCAAAGAGAATACTTGCTGAATGTGGGGCAGAAACCTGGGCTTAGGGAGCTACCAGTGTGCACTGCAGGACATCCTGCTGTCTTCTGGGGGAGGGAGTGCCAGGGGAGCCTGTGACCTGTGTCACGCCCTGGATCCTGTGACACCTGCTCAGGTGTGGGAGCAGCCCTGTACTCCCTGCTGCTCCCTCAGGTGCAGCAGCACATGCCCTGGCTGGACTGGCCACTGTTCCCCTATTCTGCATGTGAATAGATCTCTGTGCTGGGAGTCAGCTGTGGAAGGAAGGGAGTGGGAAGGAGGGAGGATCCATAATCCATTCACTTACTAACATTTCCCTTTTTTTCCAGTGCCATAAAGTTCAGGGTTGATAGATTTAAGGAGGAAAGGTGTCAAATGAGTGGGGAGCTTTGGAGAACTTGTGATGAGGATAGGAGAGACACCTACAGCTCTTGAACCTGCCACTGGTGTTCCCAGAGACTGGAATGTTCCAGCTGCTTTGTGGAGCTGCGGTCAGAGGAAAACATTCCTTGTGAGAGATCCAAGCTGTGTCCCATGTGCTGTTCCACAGAGCCCAGAGGCAGCACCACGGTGCCTTTGGGGGTGTCTGTGTGGTGTAGTGAGTGGCCCTGTGTGGCGACAGTGCTGCCAGGGGTGTTCCTGTGGCAGGAGGTCAGTGTTGCACAGAGGTGCTCGGTGCTGCTGCCTGCTGTGCTGGCATCGCTGGGAGATGTGCCTGGAATTATCACTGGCAGTGTGAGAGCCACTCACAGGTGGAGAGAATTAAAGCCCCTTTTGGACAGCTCTGGCAGTGCCCCAGCAGAAGGGAGGCCTCGAGCTGGAGGGTCTCGGTGTCTCCTGGTGGCCCTGGGATGTGGTATGTGCTGAGTGAGACCTCACTGGGGCACAGGGAAGCTCCCTGGGGTGCAGTGCAGATTCCCCTCTCGTGCCTCTGGTGCTGAGTGTTTCTCCTGCCTGCACCACACCTGACCTGGGACTCATCCTGTATGTAACTGTCTGCTCAGAGCCTGCCCTCATTCCAGGCCAGGGGGCCAGGACTCGCTGGGTGTTAGCTCTGCCAGGGCAGCACGTGGGCAGGGACGTAAGTGTGGGTTCCTCTACCGGGATCCACGGCCAGGAGAAGCTGCTGGGATGTGGAGAAAGGGAGTTTTGTGTGGAAGGGTGGGGTGTGGGGGGCTGAGGGACTGTAGGGCACTCACTGGAAGAGCAATTTCCAGTTGCTTGGCCTCAGAGTCAGCACTGACCTGCCCAGTGTGGCTCCCAGGTGGAAATGCTGATGCTCCTTAGGGAATGTGTTTGGAGAGGTGGCTGGAGGCAGGGCCCTGTGCTCAGTCCTGTCCCTGTGTGCCCTCCTCTGACCCAGCTGTCTCTCTGGATGTAAGTGCTTTGCTGTTCATCAACTCATTGACTTTATCTCGTTTTACTTCCCGCTCACGGGCTGCTCTGTCACAACAGTCTTTCATAGGATATTTGCTAATGGTGAGCAAACTTCTCCACTCCTGTGGTGTGACTCCACTGCTGTCATGTACATGATTATCTCTGTGTGTGTATCTGTATATATATATTCGCATATATATATATATAAGTGTGTGTAGATTATAATTGTAGCACACAGACATACACACTGATCTCTGCAGTGTTCCCTTGCTATAAGGCTGTATGTAAAACTGTTTGGCTTTGGTGCATCCTGCTTGGAGAGCTCGTGTTCTGTGCTGGGATGCCAACCATTCCTCGTGCTCTTGGCCAGAGCCTTACAGAGAGGGAGCACTGCCCTTTGTGAAGTCTCCTGGTCGTTAGTTCTCCCCCTCTCCATGTTCTTAGCGTGTCCATGGGGCCTGTGCATGCTTCCTGCATGTCAGCTAGCCATGCCTTGTTCTGAGCTCTTCCCAGCTGAACTTCCCATGTCTACTAGGCTCTTCCCTGCTGCTGCTCTGCTGGCCTTGGCTGGCCCTGAGCCTGGACTAGCCCCGCGGTGTGCTTGGCTGTCCAACTGCTTGCTTGTAGTCGACTCCTTAGCCGTGTTGGTTTCCAGGTGAATGTGGTGAATGTATCTGGCCCTAATGGCCAGGCGAGTCCCTGGGGTGAAGTGAGCTTGGCTATCGATGTTCCCCCAGACCAAGCTCTGGTTTGGGGGAGGTCTGTGCACATGAGGAGGGAGTTGGGCTGGGGGGAGGGCCAGAGAAGGGTTTGAGTGCTGCCATTTGTGACCCTATTGCATAGAACGTGTTTGCGTTTTGAATAATTATTTATTTTTTGCCATCAAGGTTGTGCTCTGTGGGTAGAGTTTATTTCTGCTGAGTTGGGAACCTACTAACCTTCAGCTGGAAGTGGTGGAGAGAGGGCTCTGTGCCCTCCAGGTGTTGGCAGGAAGATGTGGTGTGCTGCTCTGCACCCCAGCAGAGCAGAGTCTCCCAAGAGGCTGAACCTGGGCTCTGGTGTAGCTGAGGGGGATGGTGCCATGGTCAAGGCTTGAGCGCTGAGGAGGGCAGGTGTGCTGGGGGTGGCTGCAGGCTGGGCCCTGGTCTGGGGACAAACCCTCAGGGTGGGAACGTGGCTGAGCCTGGGTTCAGTCACACTGCTGGCAGCAAGGCTCAGGCTGGCCAGGCAGCTCTCACACATCAAGTCACCCCTGTGAGTAGAACGAAAGGCTCCAGCAGGGCAGGAGGAGCCTGAGCTCCACAGGTGTAAAGAGCTGCTGTGGTTACCTCACCTGTACTGGATCAGCATCAGGCAGCCTAGGAGTACTGAGCTTTCCTGCCTGGCTCCTTGAGAGCTTGTTCTGAGTCTGTTGTACAAGGTAT